ACCTCCGCAAGCACAACTAGATGAGTGTACACACACACACACACACTGAAAGGCGGGGTCCAAGAGCTAATAGCTCGATTCTACAGATGCAAATAGTAAATACAAATAGTAAATACACACACAGTCCCATTATGAAGGCGTATAATTACAGGTGATGAAGGTGCGGGCGATGCGCAAGTCATGTTCGCCTGTAACAAAGGTAATTACAGAACTACAAGCGCGAACAGTATGACTGGAGACGGGGCCCGTGTCAGAGTCACACTCACCCTAATATTATTCATCTTCATTAATTTAAAAGTAAATTGCAACTTGCAATCTTATGTTGCTTGTGTTGATGTGAAAATACTCGAGGTTGATGTTAGTTAACATTATTGTTCTTGTCGCAGTACAGTTACTCTATCATCTCCTCTTGAGACAAAGTGTTGTGGAGAATACTCTTGACCGCAAAGGCGCGCGTCTGGCGGTCGCCACAACGCTGGTTCGAATCCCTGCACTGGCTGCTCCAACTGACTGTCTCACTCATCCTCTTGTGAAGTATAAGAAAATATTTTTTCTTAACATTTCCAAACAACTTTACAACTTATACAAAAAATAATAACTTATACAAAAAATAATTTAAGGAAATTCCTGAAGGTTTCGGTAACACAGGAAACTGTACTGAGACTGGTAAAAGTGGATTATATTCATAATGACCAGGATTATGGCCACTATATACACGTGTACTTGGAAGAGTAGCCGCTGGTGCTGGCTATACTATGTCACTCCCCCCAACACATTCTCCCTCTCCCCACATTCCCCTTCTTTCCTATCTCCCCCCCTCTTTCCCTTTCTCCCCCTCACCCCATCCCCCTCTTTTCCTTCCTTTTCATCCCATGCTTCCCCCTCCCATGTATGGCCCCCCAACCTCAAATAGAGATTTCCATTTATATACATTTATAGAAGTTCTTCTTCCCTTCCTCTTCTTACAATTGTTTCACCCCCCCCTTGATCCCCCCTTCATCCTCCCCTCCCCCTCTCGCTTTCTCTTCCCCTTTGCTATAAAAATGTATTATAAAGAAGCACTGGAACACCTATATGACTCTCTCTCTGAATATATATATATATATATATATATATATATATATATATATATATATATATATATATATATATATATATGTCGTACCTAGTAGCCAGAACTCACTTTTCAGCCTACAATGCAAGGCCCGATTTGCCTAATAAGCCAAGTTTTCATGAATTAATATATTTTCTCTAATTTTTTTCTTATGAAATGATAAAGCAGCCCATTTCATTATGTAAGAGGTCAATTTTTTTTTATTGGAGTTAAAATTAACGAAGATATATGACCGAACCTAACCAACCCTACCTAACCTAACCTATCTTTATAGGTTAGGTTAGGTTAGGTAGCCGAAAAAGTTAGGTTAGGTTAGGTTAGGTAGGTTAGGTAGTCGAAAAGCAATTAATTCATGAAAACTTGGCTTATTAGGCAAATCGGGCCTTGCATAGTAGGCTCAGAAGTGAGTTCTGGCTACTAGGTACGACATATATATATATATATATGTCGTACCTAGTAGCCAGAACTCACTTTTTGGCCTACTATTCAAGGCCCGATTTACCTAATAAGCCAAGTTTTCCTGAATTAATATATTTTTTCTAATTTTTTTCTTATGAAATGATAAAGCTACCCATTTCATTATGTATGAGGTCAATTTTTTTTATTGGAGTTAAAATTAACGTAGATATATGACCGAACCTAACCAACCCTACCTAACCTAACCTAACCTATCTTTATAGGTTAGGTTTGGTTAGGTAGCCGAAAAAGTTAGGTTAGGTTAGGTTAGGTAGGTTAGGTAGTCGAAAAACAATTAATTCATGAAAACTTGGCTTATTAGGCAAATCGGGCCTTGAATAGTAGGCTGAGAAGTGCGTTCTGGCTATTAGGTACGACATATATATATATATATATATATATATATATATATATATATATATATATATATATATATATATATATATATATATATATATGTCGTACCTAGTAGCCAGAACGCACTTCTCAGCCTACTATGCAAGGCCCGATTTGCCTAATAAGCCAAGTTTTCCTGAAATAATATATTTTCTCTAATTTTTTTCTTATGAAATGATAAAGCTACCCATTTCATTATGTATGAGGTAAAAAAAATTTTATTGGAGTTAAAATTAACGTTGATATATGACCGAACCTAACCAACCATACGTAACCTAACCTAACCTATCTTTATAGGTTAGGTTAGGTTAGGTAGCCGAAAAAGTTAGGCTAGGTTAGGTTAGGTAGGTTAGGTAGTCGAAAAACAATTAATTCATGAAAACTTGGCTTATTAGGCAAATTGGGCCTTGCATATTTGGCTGAGAAGTGCGTTCTGGCTACTAGGTACGACATTATATATATATATATATATATATATATATATATATATATATATATATATATATATATATATATATATATATATATATATATATATATATATATATATATATATGTCGTACCTAGTAGCCAGAACGCACTTCTCAGCCAACTATGCATGGCCCAATTTGCCTAATAAGCCAAGTTTTCATGAATTAATTGTTTTTCGACTACCTAACCTACCTAACCAAACCTAACCTAACTTTTTCGGCTACCTACCCTAACCTAACCTATAAAGATAGGTTAGGTTAGGTTAGGTAGGGTTGGTTAGGTTCGGTCATATATCTACGTTAATTTTATCTCCAATAACAAAAAATTGACCTCATACATAATGAAATGGGTAGCTTTATCATTTCATAAGAAAAAAATAGAGAAAATATATTATTTCAGGAAAACTTGGCTTATTAGGCAAATCAGGCCTTGCATAGTAGGCATAGAAGTGAGTTCTGGCTACTAGGTACGACATATATATAGACATATATATATTATATATATATATAGACATATATATATTATATATATATATATAGACATATATACATATATATATATTTGTTATTAACACATTAGGTACGTCTGCATTTGTTTTTTTTTTGTTTTGTTTTCATTAATATATTAGAAACATCTGCATTTGTGCAGCTGCCCTAGACTATACGATGGGGAGTACAGTGTGTCAAAAAGCTAGCTACGTGATGCTAAAAATGCCCATCACACAGAATGGTTAGTCATTCAGAGGCACGTGATAAGTAGCCTGCACTGGCAAACTCTGAGTGTATTATGAGGATATCATCAACACATAAGTGAATAAGGTAGCAGTGATATTAAAAGTCCCCATCTCGCAGGATGGTTAGTCATACAGGGATATGTATTTTTTTTTTATTAACATATAAGGTACATCTGCATTAGTGCAGCTACCCTAGACTATATGAAGTGGAGTACAGTGTGTCAAAAAAGATAACTAGGTGATGCTAAGAAATCCCCATCACACAGGGTGGTTAGTCATACAGAGGCACGCGATAAGCAGTCTGCACTGGCATACTCCGGATGCATTTTGAGGATATCAACACCACAAGATTGAATAAGGTAGCAGTGGTAATACAAGTCCCCATCTCGCAGGATGGTTAGTCATACAGAGTCATGTGTTTAATAGCCGGCACTGGCAAATTTTGGGTATACTGTGAGGATATCTTCAAGAATACGAGAGTGAATAAAGTAATTGCAGAGCTCCAGGTACCTCATGCCAACTGGTCTGAAAGGTTTAATAACTGGGCATTCAGTGATGTAGTGCGGGAGATCATGCCGTAGTTCCTGCTCACAGAGTTTGCAACTGGAGTGCTCAGGATTGGGAGACCCGTCACCTGCAGCCACCTGCCACAGGTAACGGTAACCCAACCTGATCCTTGCAACCACTGTGTCGCACAGTCTAGTGGACGTTTTGTGCTGTCCATAGATGTAGGTTTCAGATCTGAACAAATCATAGCTTTTTATACTAGTACTTTCAGGTCGTTGGGAGTCAGTAAGTTCTTTCCTATCAGATCTGAATGTTTGGACCAATACAGTTTTGACAGCAGAGATGGGGATACCTAGATCTAATTCAACTTCAAACTTGTTACACGCTAATTTGGCCTCATGGCCTCTCGCTAAAAACTCTAGGGGAAACACACTAAATATTTCACACTTGACTCCCTGAAAATCTCCTTCAGGTCTGTATAAATGCTAATATTTCTTAACGCCCATAAAACCTAGGTGGACCCCGTCCCATACCTCAGACCAGTACCTCTACAAAGTTGGTAGTTTTTTCTCATTTTCTGTGTGTGTGTGTATTCTGCTAGTTGTATTCACCTAGTTGTGCTTGTGGGGGTTGAGCTCTGCTCTTTCGGCCCGCCTCTCAACTATCAATCAATCAACTGTTACTAACTACTATTTTGTGTGTGTGTGTGTGTGTGTGTGTGTGTGTGTGTGTGTGTATACTAGGCCAACTATTGAACATCGCCAAGATGCATCCCACAAGAGCTATCTAATTTCCCAGGTACCTATTTACAGATAGATGAACATTAGCATCAGGGTAAAAAGAGCATTGCCCAAGCGCTTCCGCCCTGCCGTGGGGATTGAACTCGCAATCTTCGATTGAAGGTCGATGGCTTAACCTACTGCCACAGACCTCTCCCTCTCTCAACACTCTCCTTGCCTCTCTCCCTCCCCCTCCACACCCTGACCATATTCACTGTCCAATCAAATCTTGGACAAAGTTCCCAGCGCGCTCATTAAACAGCCAACAATAGGCTGTTAGGGAACAATTGACCATCATATATCTGATCACTGGGATTCCTCCAGACAAGTTTGGTCATCTAATCAACTTCTCAATCACCAATAATAGATGACCAGAGTTGATTACATTCGACTTGAGGTATGCCATCAACCTCTTACTACATTCTTATAGTATTAATCACAGTGTGAGTTAGCTATCAAGTGTCAAATTACTTATGTTTTCTCAGGGTTAACGATGGGGGGGGGGGGAGGATTTAGGAGACTTGTCTGAGACGTTAGGTAGGTGTTAAACTATTGGGCTGGTTGGTCTTGTGTATTGATGACGTAGGTATTGCGTCACTGGTCGGTGTGGTCTCTGATTGGTGCGGACTGTTGATGACGTAGGTATTGCGTCACTGGTCGGTGTGGTCTCTGGTGCGGACTGTTGATGACGTAGGTATTGCGTCACTGGTCGGTGTGGTCTCTGATTGGTGCGGACTGTTGATGACGTAGGTATTGCGTCACTGGTCGGTGTGGTCTCTGGTGCGGACTGTTGATGACGTAGGTATTGCGTCACTGGTCGGTGTGGTCTCTGATTGGTGCGGACTGTTGATGACGTAGGTATTGCGTCACTGGTCTTTTTGATGGTGTGGTCTCTGATTGGTGCGGACTGTAGATGACGTAGGTGGCATGGTATTGGTAGAGTACTGATGACGTGGTTTGGGAAGCGAACTGCGGATGAGTGGAATGAGTTGTGGATTAGCATTATTGCGACAAAAGAGTTTTAAAGGTTTCAGAATTTGATTGGATACGTGGATAAAAGGATAGGGGTGGACGTAAAGGGACCCGTCTGTTAGTATGTGTCAACAGGTCTGTTAGTATGTGTCAACAGGTCTGTTAGTATGTGTCAACAGGTCTGTTAGTATGTGTCAACAGGTCTGTTAGTGTCAACAGATCTGTTAGTATGTGTCAACAGATTTGTTAGTATGTGTCAACAGGTCTGTTAGTATGTGTCAACAGGTATGTTAGTATGTGCCAACAGATCTGTTAGTATGTGTCAACAGGTCTGTTAGTGTCAACAGATCTGTTAGTATGTGCCAACAGATCTGTTAGTATGTGTCAACAGATCTGTTAGTATGTGTCAACAGACCCGTTAGTATGTGCCAACAGGTCTGTTAGTATGTGTCAACAGGTCTGTTAGTGTCAACAGACCCGTTAGTATGTGTCAACAGGTCTGTTAGTATGTGTCAACAGATCTGTTAGTATGTGTCAACAGATCTGTTAGTATGTGTCAACAGACCCGTTAGTATGTGCCAACAGGTCTGTTAGTATGTGTCAACAGGTCTGTTAGTGTCAACAGACCCGTTAGTATGTGTCAAAAGGTCTGTTAGTATGTGTCAACAGGTCTGTTAGTATGTGTCAACAGGTCTGTTAGTATGTGTCAACAGGTCTGTTAGTATGTGTCAACAGGTCTGTTAGTGTCAACAGACCCGTTAGTATGTGTCAACAGATCTGTTAGTATATGTCAACAGATCTGTTAGTATGTGTCAACAGATCTGTTAGTATGTGTCAACAGATCTGTTAGTATGTGTCAACAGATCTGTTAGTATGTGTCAACAGGTCTGTTAGTATGTGTCAACAGATCTGTTAGTATGTGTCAACAGATCTGTTAGTATGTGTCAACAGATCTGTTAGTATGTGTCAACAGATCTGTTAGTATGTGTCAACAGGTCTGTTAGTATGTGTCAACAGATCTGTTAGTATGTGTCAACAGATCTGTTAGTATGTGTCAACAGATCTGTTAGTATGTGTCAACAGATCTGTTAGTATGTGTCAACAGATCTGTTAGTATGTGTCAACAGACCCGTTAGTATGTGCCAACAGGTCTGTTAGTATGTATCAACAGATCTGTTAGTATGTGTCAACAGGTCTGTTAGTATGTGTCGACAGATCTGTTAGTATGTGTCAACAGGTCTGTTAGTGTCAACAGGTCTGTTAGTATATGTCAACAGACCCGTTAGTATGTGTCAACAGGTCTGTTAGTATATGTCAACAGACCCGTTAGTATGTGTCAACAGGTCCGTTAGTATATGTCAACAGACCCGTTAGTATGTGTCAACAGGTCTGTTAGTATGTGTCAACAGGTCTGTTAGTATATGTCAACAGACCCGTTAGTATGTGTCAACAGACCCGTTAGTATGTGTCAACAGACCCGTTAGTATATGTCAACAGACCCGTTAGTATGTGTCAACAGGTCTGTTAGTATATGTCAACAGACCCGTTAGTATGTGTCAACAGACCCGTTAGTATGTGTCAACAGGTCTGTTAGTATATGTCAACAGACCCGTTAGTATGTGTCAACAGACCCGTTAGTATGTGTCAACAGACCCGTTAGTATGTGTCAACAGGTCTGTTAGTATGTGTCAACAGACCCGTTAGTATGTGTCAACAGACCCGTTAGTATGTGTCAACAGGTCTGTTAGTATATGTCAACAGGTCTGTTAGTATGTGTCAACAGACCCGTTAGTGTGTGTCAACAGACCCGTTAGTGTGTGTCAACAAGCCTGCTGCCTCATATATTCCTTATGCTTGTACTTACCCAACTTAGGATTACCCTCAAATACCATAAGCTTCAACCTGGGTTAATTGGACGATAGTTGGAGCCAGGTAAGAATGTAAGAACTGGGAGTCATTACAATTGGCCTGTTGACATATAGTCTAGATGGCGCCCAGCTTGAGCCATCCCGGCTTTCCCATGCATATATAGAGCCTATTTTTAAAGCTTGGTATACCAAGCTTGACTTGATCGACTTGAGAATGGTCCAGGACGGACCGAAACGTCGTCGTCCCTTCACCTTCTAATGTGTGGTCTGGTCAACATACTTTAGCCACGTTATTGTGACTCATCGCCTGCACTTGGTATACCATTTGTCTCAGTGATATTAGCCGGCAACTTATTAAACGCCGTCTGCGCCGCCTTCTGTCTTCTGTCTTGTCTCATTTTCGTTACCTTATCATAAAACTCCAGGAGGTTTGTCAGGCTAATTCTTTCAAAGTGTGCAACTAGTAATTATTTTAAGTACTTTGCAAGGGATGCTTGTGGGTGACACTGGTCTGTAGTTCTGGCCCTTTTCTCTGTCTCCTTTCTTGAAGATTTTAACCACATTTGCCTTCCTTTAGCAGCTGGGCAATTCCCCCTTTGTAAGTGACTCGTTAAAGATTAGCGCTAGGGGTAGGCTGAGGGCTTCTGCTGCTTCTTTTAACATCCATGGTGATATTCTATCTGGCCCAGTAGCTTTAGTTACATCCAGTGATGCTAGTTATATCCTTACTTTCACTGCTGTTACCTCAATATTTAATAGTTTCTTATTAGGGGCTGATTCCTCCTCTAACTCTGGGAGTTGTTCAGGCTCAGTAGTGAACACTCCATGGAAGCTGGCATTGAGCTCCTCACAAGTTTCTTTATTTTCTGTATACTGGCCTCCCCCCTTCTCTTAACCTGGTCACTTTGTCATTCACTGTCATTTTCCTTCTTTGGGAATGTAGGAGTTTCGGTTGTCTCTTTGTTTTGGTGGCAATACCATTTTCATAGTTTCTTTCCTTCAATTTTCTTACGTTTATGTAGTCATTTCTGGCCCTGTTGCGTCTAGTCCGGTTTACCTCTGTCCTTTGCACTCTGTATTTCCTCCACCCTTTCCTTAGGGGAGCCGGTGGCTGAGCGGACAGAACACTGGACGTGTGATCCTGTGGTTCCGGGTTCGATCCCGGGCGCCGGCGAGAAACAATGAGCAGAGTTTCTTTCAATCCCTGATGCCCCTGTTACCTAACAGTAAATAGGTACCTGGGAGTTAGTCAGCTGTCACGGGCTGCTTCCTGGGGGTGGAGGCCTGGTCGAGGACCGGGCCGTGGGGACACTAAGCCCCCAAATCATCTCAAGATAACCTCAAGATAACCCCCGCCTGCTTTTTGCTTTCGCTTCCTGGCACTGTCTATTGAGCCACGGTTATATTCCATCCTACTTTTTTCCCTTAATAGTGGTATGAATCTCTCTTCTGACTCTTTGCATCTCAGTTTGACTTGGTCCATCATTTCCAGGACCGTCATCCCTCTAAGTTGCTCCTCCCAGTGAACACTTCCCAGATAGTCCCTTACTTGCGTGTAGTCTTTATAGCCTGCTCTCCCTTCCCTGACTCCTGGTCTTATGGGCACTGTTGTGAGGTCCGTCATGTAGTCCAATACCAGGACACAATGGTCACTTGCTCCTGGTAGTATTTCATACTCTAAGTTCTCAATGTCTTCCTCATTCTGGGTGAAGATCAAGTCCAGTAAACTTGGTGTATCTCCTCCACTTTCTCTTGTGTCCTTTACATGTTGGGTTAGGGATTCAAGAATTTAAGAATAATGTAGTTCTTCCACAGAGGTTAATAAGGTATGGCGTAGAACACACAACAAATTCACACGGAAATTTACCCCGTAAATCGTTTCTCATCTGCAATTAATGTCCTTTTTAAATGTACACCATTATTAAGAGCATTTACATCAGGCGATACACGGGGAAGCTCTTGAGGTCTGTTATGGGTTGTTTGTCTTCATTCTTCACTTAAGGGAACTAGAGTTAATTACACCTCCGGTAAATGTTGTAAGCGTACCAATTCTCCGGGGGGGGGGGGGGGGAGAGAGATGGGGAGAGTGCCGACCATCCGGCTCCCTGACCTTCACGACGATGGCAACAGTCGGGTTACCTGGCCAGATGTCCACAGGTGCCTCCAGTTTGGCCGCAGATGCCTCCGGATTGTCCACAGGTTATCTTGGTTATCTTGAGATGATTTCGGGGCTTTAGTGTCCCCGCGGCCCGGTCCTCGACCAGGCCTCCACCCCCAGGAAGCAGCCCGTGACAGCTGACTAACTCCCAGGTACCTATTTACTGCTAGGTAACAGGGGCATTCAAGGTGAAAGAAACTTTGCCCATTTGTTTCTGCCTCGTGCGGGAATCGAACCCGCGCCACAGAATTACGAGTCCTGCGCGCTATCCACCAGGCTACCAGGCCCCCCACCAGGCCTACCAGGCCCCCCTACCAGGTGCCTCCGGATTGTCCACAGGTGCCTCCGGATTGTCCACAGGTGCCTCCGGATTGTCCACAGGTGCCTCCGGATTGTCCACAGGTGCCTCCGGATTGTCCACAGGTGCCTCCGAATTGTCCGCAGGTGCCTCCGGATTGTCCACAGGTGGCTCCAGATTGCCCACAGGTGCCTCCGGATTGTCCGCAGGTACCTCTGGATTGTCCGCAGGTGCCTCCGGATTGTCCGCAGGTGCCTCCGGATTGTCCGCAGGTGCCTCCGGATTGTCCGCAGGTGCCTCCGGATTGTCCACAGGTGCCTCCGGATTGTCCGCAGGTGCCTCCGGATTGTCCGCAGGTGCCTCCAGATTGCCCGCAGGTGCCTCCGGATTGTCCGCAGGTGCCTCCGGATTGTCCGCAGGTGCCTCCGGATTGTCCGCAGGTGCCTCCAGATTGCCCGCAGGTGCCTCCGGATTGTCCACAGGTTCCTCCGGATTGTGCACAGGTGCCTCCGGATTGTCCGCAGGTGCCTCCGGATTGTCCGCAGGTGCCTCCGGATTGTCCACAGGTGCCTCCGGATTGTCCGCAGGTGCCTCCGGATTGTCCGCAGGTGCCTCCGGATTGTCCGCAGGTGCCTCCAGATTGTCCGTAGATGCCTCGGATTGTTATCAGTCACTGGTAAGGATGGCAGTAGTGTGACAATGTGAGGCAACTCTATAACTCGCGAATGTTTTCCAGCTAAGCTGCCATACGGTGCGACCAAGGCTGCATAGAGAAGGGTCCCCATGCAGGCACTTTTAACAAATCAGTATCGCCGCTGCCTGAATACTTGATTTGCGCCTAAATACGCGGCTCGAGTCGGTCCGAGACCCTTAAGTGAGTGAAGCTCAGGTACCGAACGCACTCGACTCACCCAGCCCGTCCTTGTAAACAAAGATCAAATCCTCGTTAATTCAGCCGCCAAACCCCCATTTTCATGGCAGAAAAACACTTTACACGAACATATGATTATGTACGAACTTTTCTTGAAGAGTGCTTCGCTCTATTCCTGGGTTTGAATCCAGTCTCTCTTAATGCTGATGATCCACTTCACCTAACTGATAAAGGTGGTGGAGGTGGTGGTGGTGGTAGTGGTGGTGGAGGTGGAGGTGATAGTGGACGTGGTGGAGGTGGTAGTGGAGGTGGTAGTGGAGATGGTGGAGGTGGTAGTGGAGGTGGTAGTGGAGGTGGCGGAGGTGGTGGTGGAGGCAGGTGACCATAGGTATGTGAGAATGACAGCCACGGCGCCGCCGTCGCACGCATGCGCACCACGCCGCATAAACCTATTATATCCCAATTAACAACTTTTGTCTTCCAGTGCTCTTTCTTTGTTTACTTTTTATACATTACATTATCAGATTAAAATGATTAATATTGCCTTCTAAAATAAGGACAAAAATATTTAAATAACAGTATGAGAACACACACACATATTATATAAAATATATATATATATATATATATATATATATATATATATATATATATATATATATATATAATATAAATATATATATATATATATATATATATATATATATATATATATATATATATATATATATATATATATATATATATATATATATATATATATATATATATATATATATATATATATATATATATATATATATATATATGTAACGCACGCAATACGTGAAGTATTTAAGTGTTGGTGTGCCGTGGGAGTGGGAAGGTATAGTTAATGTGGACTGACTGGTGGAGGAGCCACGGGGGCCCCGGGCCCAGCCGGGTGCCTCAGATGCCGGGAATATTAACACAGAGCTGCGATATACCCGCCCACTGACCGAGTCTATAGCGATCACACCGTCTCTTCTGACCTTTACGGTCCTCAGCACTTAAGGTCGCTTCTCGCGCTGCCCCGCGCCGCGAGCCCTGTCTCTATTGCCCTCCCGCGGGTTCGCACTGTCTTGTGCCAAACATTGGAGCTCATACCAGAGATATTTTAACAATTTTACTGCGGGGCTACAGTCTGGCCACTCTCTATTATGACCAAATCTGCGTTGTTAATTTCCTGAAATATATATTCCCCGTGGCCTAGTGGTAAGACGCTCGCCTGGCGTTTCGCTAGCACTTTGTCATGGGTTCGTATCCTGGCCGGGGAGGATTTACTGGGCGTCAATCCTTAACTGTAGACTATTTACCCAACAGTAAAATGGGTACCTGGTTGTTAAACGATTTGGCGGGTCGTATTCTGGGGAACATAGGATTAAGGACTTACCCGAAACATTACGCGTACTAGTGGCTGTACAAGAATGTAACAACTCTTGTATATATATATATATATATATATATATATATAAATAAATAAATAAAAATATTGAAGACTAATGCCCGTCGATCTGCCATGGCATCATTCCCACCCACACACAGGTGACCAGCCGTCCTCTCCACACACAGGTGACCAGCCGTCCTCCCCACACACAGGTGACCAGCCGTCCCCTCCACACACAGGTGACCAGCCGTCCTCCCCACACACAGGTGACCAGCCGTCCCACCCACACACAGGTGACCAGCCGTCCTCCCCACACACAGGTGACCAGCCGTCCCCTCCACACACAGGTGACCAGCCGTCCTCTCCGCACACAGGTGACCAGCCGTCCCCTCCACACACAGGTGACCAGCCGTCCCCTCCACACACAGGTGACCAGCCGTCCCCTCCACACACAGGTGACCAGCCGTCCCCT